ATATATATATATATATATATATATATATATATATATATATATATATATATATATATATATATATATATATATATATATATATATATATATATATATATATATATATATATATATATATATATATATATATATATATATATATATATATATATATATATATATATATATATATATATATATATATATATATATATATATATATATTTTATGTAGGAAAATACAAATGCAGAGAAATCCTATATTAAAAAGAAAACAAAAAAATACAGAAAACTGTATACATGGATATAAACAAACATGAAAAATAAGACATGAGACATACACTGCATGAGCATAACGTAAAGGAGCCTTATTCTACAGCAGAATGAAAATTTTCGGCACAATAAATTAGTGCTAAACTAAACAAGCAACCAGCGAAGCTACCTGATGGCAAACTTTATAGAAGAGAGTCATGCGAAGAAATCAGTCACTCTAGAAAATATCTGTTCAAGCGAATCATATTCTTGACGCTATGTATTACAACAGAGCGCCTATTTTTCTTCTCATCCTAAAATTAATAAAATAAAATATTTCGAGACTTGCATAAAAAAAGAAATTGTTTTTGTGCACGCAGTTTTTTCATTCTATTTTATGTTTTTAATATCTGTAAGAAATTGCATTTTGATATATAGGCGTCTCAATTTCCCCCCTCGCTCCCAATTCAACTATTTTATTACCTGTATCGTAAACTTTTTACGCTATAAGTATAGTGTGTACATATATATATATGCAATTTCAATTTCACCTTTGCAATTCTTCTACAAGAGTCCACGAGCTCCGCGCGTGTGTGTCGCATGTCTATGTTATGTTATGTTTGATTTACATTATACATAAATGTCTCACGATGTTCATTAGAAAAAGAGGGGGAACTGGTTTATATCTGAATCTTATGTACCTTTAACAACACCAATCCAATTTTTCTCCATTGCTATGTAAAGTGAATCAGTCCGTGTTCAAAGTAAGACAAGTTATATATCCACATATTGCCGCTCTAATGTGCTCTGCCATATTTTCAAAGAATAAATTATACCGTGACATCCATTTCTTTCAATTTTCTTCTCTAAATATAGACAATATAAAGACTAAAGTTACATTGAACCATAGTGACAATATGCTAAAACTACCACGCATCTCTCTGAGAAAGTACCGCAACTGGAAGATGTATCAATATCACTGAAAACCAGAGACTGAGACGAGTAAACTTTACGAGAAAATGTATGGTATCACTATGTGAGATGATTGGACGGATAAACGGATTTTACACAGTGCTAGATTTAATGTTTTCTTTTTGTTCTTTTGGTTTTTTTTTTTTGGTTTTTTTGAATTTTTCGCTTTTGATCTGATAATGATATTTACTTCTTTTCTGGATGGCATGGTTGTTCCAGTGTTGTTGCAGCTGATGCTGTTGTAGATGTAGCTGTTGCGGTGGGCCCTGTATTTGTTGCATGTTACCACTGCCACCTCCCCCGTAGTTCGTATAAGCATGGTGCATCATTAAAGGCGCCATACCCACTACGTATATATCACAGTTTTTTGTTTAATTTAGAATGAAGGAGGAAACTGTTTAAGCTTCTTTTTTTTTTACGGGATTACGGTATCTAAGTGATAGAAACAGTTTTGAGAAGCAGTCTTCGGTAATCATCAACGATCAACGGTTTTTTTTTACGCGGCCAAACTTGATGCGACTTTTGACGATTGTGAAAACTCGGGGGCGAACTGTTTCCGCAATTTTGTTTCTGCGACTTAGTACCCTCGCAATAAGCAATATTTTCATACTTTACATATTATATCTGAATATAAAATGTAATTATATATCAATATAATGTAGCGTTATGTGCATTATTTTCAAAGTTTGGAAACTGTTAAGAGATGATTAAAATGTGTTCAGAGAAAAAAAAAATATATATATATATATAGTAAAGAGATCTATTATAGCGCATTGTTCATGCCAGCGAAATGTAATCTTTAACATTAAAATATCATGCATCCTCATGCACTCTCTACAGGATCACAACTATGTTTATATCTAAATACGTCTAGAAAAATGTACAGAACTGTATATGTATATTCGTATATATATAGTACACTCGATTCAAAAAGAGAAGAAGAAGATGTCACAAGTGCAGTATAAGACGGAGGAAATAACATACACTTATTCTTAAAAACATGAACATTTAATATTTGCACATCGAAATAATCTCTGAACAAAATTCGGCACGCTGTGTACAAACTGTCACGTCAAATGTGCCACAAAGAGAAGAAAAAAAAAATAAATAAATAAAGAAAATACGTCAAATCTTAGCTTTCGTACCCCATCCGCGCGTAGGGATTAAAAATTATTCTGTCCCCTTGAAAAGAGATACTCTCGCGAAAAAAAGATTTTTTACAAAAAAAAAAAAAAAAAAAAAAAAAGGAAAAAAAAAAAAAAAAAAAAAAACAAACAAACAAACCATGTATTCGGATGAAAAATTCAATTTCAACTTTTGCGTCTCTCTCCCCCCACCCTCCTACCGATCCGCGCGCGCCGGGCATTCTTGGCGGATGAAGGATCTCGAGGACACGGAGCGCGCGAAGACGCTCGGCGTCACCTCGCCGTACCTCTAACATCTCGCGTGCCGTATCGTTATTTTGCTTAGAGATTCGCGACGACTCGCGCGTCAAAGATAGATAATAAAAAGCCGCGGATTTAACCGATGCGTGGCGCGGGATTCCGCTACTGCAACATACAAGAAGGGACCAGGCCGCCCGTGCCAGCCGTGAAAAATCGTAAAGTGCACACCGATCAGACGGTCAGGGAGGAGAAAGGGGGGAAAGGGAGGGAGGGAGAGGGGCGATCCTTTTTTTTTTTTTTTTTTTTCTCCGCCGTGTGTGCGTGCACGCGAAGGGAGAAGAAGCTCTTCCCCGGGTGAGCTTCCTGATTGAGGTTAGTGACGGGAGTCGTTTCCCGGTAGGAGGAAAGAAGATTCGGATATATACGGGATAGAGGATGGGGGAGGATGGGGGAGGAAAGTGGCGCGACGTCTAGGAGATATATGCCTATAACTCTGTGATTGATCACTCACCCGTCGTATCCGAGGGCCCCTGGAACGGATCGAGCTTCGGCCGCTTCGGCGGAGGGCCGTCCACCAGGTGGTCGGCCATGGCTCCTCCGCGAGGCCTGTTATCTTTCTTCCGTAATAAACCTAACCTCTTCCTTTCCACCCAAGCTCTCGCCGCTCCTTCCGATCCTCTGTCAATCAGCAGTAGCAGCGACGACGACGGCGCATAAAAAGCGGTAAAACTCGGTTAGGGGGAGGACAATATATATTTATATATATTAATATATATGAGAGCCATTATATATACATTATAAAAATTAACTTTATCAAAAATTGACTTAATACTTTTAATAAATATATAATCTCTAAAATCTGTCGCAATAGAGATTTAGAGCTAACAATAAATATGTTTTGTTTGTATGCGATTATATACATTCTTTATTATCAATACTATGAATATTCAGTTATGTAATATATATACATATATCTTAGTTCAATATGTACAAATATAATAAGTCAATATAATTCAAGATAATCCACAACGCAACTAATATAGAAATGCGTATCTGAATTCTATTCTGAAATAAACTTTGCCATTTATTATCGGAACTGTCAAGAATTTGTAAAATGGTTGAAAACAAAATCATTAATTAGTGCATTTTTACATTTATAAGTAATTCCTACGATAATGAAAAATCTTTGCACAATCACATTAACAGATTTGTAGTATACTGCCTCTTCTCATTTACTATCAATATATATGCATAGAAAAAAAAAGATTAAATTATATTCAATTATTTCATTATATATATATATATAATTAAATTATATATTTATATACAATTAAATATAATTAAATGTATATATA